CAGAGTCACTCTTGTTTGTAACCTGGAGCATTATCTAATCCAGAATGTCTACATATTTAACATGGAGGCTAGTAATTAACGCTGCAATCACGTGACGCTAATTTATCCGACTTCGTAGGAAATTACAGTCGTTACGTGATTAAATTACAGCACGTCAAAGTTATTTATGTCGCAACAAATTCTCTGACACGGCTTTTAAACTCTGATCTGAGTTAAAATTCATGAAAAATTGTTCTGTAATTATTGTGACCCACATTTAATGTACGGTACGGGGTGGGGGTTGAGAGTGTGTTAAGATGGTGAGAGATGCAGGTTACTACAGTGGATTTTAAGAGTTACAAGTGACAGGTTGTAAGGGTTAACTGAGTCTGAGAAAAATAATTCAAAGTTCTGGTTCTAATAGGTTTAAAATGGAAGTCAGGACAGGAGACAAACATGCGACTGCAATGGAGGTGAGAGGGCAGGATGTAAGACAGATTTATAGCCGTAATTACTGTTTCCATGGTAACCACGGCGAAATAGCCAGCGCTCGCGCGGCGAAACAAGTGAGAGATGGTGGAGGGGGGGGATTTATTGCGATGTTTTAGGGCTCTTTTCAGCCAATAATTACACAGAGACAGAAGACGAACGACCGGCGCTACGATTCACGTGAATTACTATACTTTCATTCTATAATACAACCCATCATCCTCTCCTCATTATGATGTACGTCGTTAATGGTTTATGAGAAAACGTAAATTAAAGTAGAGAAAAAGACAGCCCTGACAGGACGACAGTATACATCTTTTTGGGACTTGCTAAATATTCACGATTAGCAGTCGATATTAGGGAACAGACCCCGTCTCAAAAGGGAAATTGAAAAAAAAAAGCTACAATGAATCCAGCGCACCCCTCCGAAATCTTCCAGTCGCTTTAATTCAATGATTCTGATGCCTCCTCGTATACAGAAAGCGAACGAACCATCCCCAAGAAGACGCCTCGCTGGCTTTGGAAAAGCCGTGCTTCAGCCCCCCCCCCCTCCCGGTTGTAAAACTGGGGGACAGTCGGAAAAAAACCGCATCGACATTCAGGTTTCGGAGAGCATAAAGCTGTTACTTACAACGAAAAAGTAGTTCCTATAAAAGTTCTACTGTTTCATAAATTATATACAGTACCAGAATATTAAAATATATTCAGGACCTCACTTACAGCAAAAAAAGAACAGCAAGAAACAATGGTAGTAGTGTCACAGCGTGGTTGAAGAAACAGCCCTGAGGATGGAAGTAGTATTTCACCCCGAAACGTTGGTATCCACCTACAAGTTCTCGTAGCGTTACAACCCAGAATACCAAAATCGACATTTTAACAGCAGTGACAACCACAAATCAGACATGAAAACAAAAATATTTAGGGGGGGCTTTGGGATTCTTGCAGTGTGATAACATTATTCTGAGACAGACTGTATTTTCAACTACATACCGATATGTTGCACGGTGAGCCATTTTCGTGGACATTTATACTCGTTCTTCGTCAAAACAATTTTCATTCGAAGAGCAAAGGGCCCACCCAAATTACGACTTTGACACAGTTGAAGACAGCGATAAACAAAGGCGAAATCATGTCCCGTATAATTCCTTTGTCCTTCACATTATGTGAATATTTTCATACGCTATTTTTATTGAGTCTAATTACTGTGTGATAAAATACTTTTTAATGGGTCCTCAAGCTTGCCTTCATGTCTCCCTTATTTGGTGCGGAGTTCTCCTTACAATGACGTCCGCTCACAGTGAAATTCGCAAGACACGTAATGTAAGGTAAAGTGGGGAGACAACGGACAAGGTGCAAACCCCTGGGATAAATCAGAGCAGTTCCACTATGTCACTGGAATATACTTAAGTTGTGGTTAAGAATCTACTTTTTTCAAGGAACGCCATGCAAAGTGAGATTATCATGGAATTCATAAGGCAATTAGTGCTTTATGTGATTTATTATTATTATAACGTGTACTTAAGGATTCTCTTTACGAATATTTTACTGGACTTTACATTAAGTACGACGTGTGGCAGCAACGTCCAATCGCGATACGAAGCGGGGCAGAGGCCTCCACCTCGGAGGGTGATTCTACATGACGATGCTCGACCGTGTTCAGCGTCGTATGAAAAATAACTCGTTTCATATAGTGACGTACGAAATTTATTACGAACCCAATCTCAAGTTGTTAACTTTCATACTTTATAAGTTTGGAGCTTTTGTTATGAACCTTTAAGACTCGTCTAAAGCAATCTCGTACCTATACCTTCCTGTCTTCATCAATCAGCAGCAACGCACTCTCCGTCTTCGGTACACTTAAAAAAATTCCAATCGAAATTTTCGCCAGTCCCAGAAATGAACATTCATCAAAAACATTTACAGTTAACAGCGGAATAAAAACAATGGGATGCTATGACTTCGGTCTTCTTAATACTGGTGTATAACAACGTGTTATCAGGAAGGGCAACCTAACAAAACACATCGTCTCCATCCTCAGGGGAGAAATCTTCAGATACAAGACGACGCGGTGTCACAGCCCTGAATACAAACATCGACGTATTCATCGGCGTGCGAACTTCAGACTTCACAGAAATAAATAAATGCAAAGATAATGAGTTGTAAGAGTCTGAAATGAGATGGGAAATTTCTTGAAACCTGGAAGATTTGAAAGGAGACGGAAGGGTAATATTAAAACGGATGACACAGCCGTGAAAATCAGACACGCATGTAAATGATTCAGGATTATTCTGAAGTTCCCTAACACCAAAGCACACATTTTATCCAAACTTTATTTCTCATAATTCCGTCACGAATCTTGTTTATAAACTTCACATTTGTGAAGACATATTCACGAACATGTCTCATATAATTTTAGTTAAGTCAGTATCGCGACTAAACTATTGGTTGGACAACTGAGGTTCGATTCCCGGCGCTGAGGTATCCCTGCCTCGTACTCAATGGACACCCGAGTTCTTTCCCAGTGGTAAAGTGGCCGAGACGTCAAACTGATGTCACCTCCGTCCAGATTACGTATACGTGGAGCTATACAACAATTTCGTCGTAAAAAAGTTCATTTGGTTCTACTCGGTTGATGCAGCGTCGTAATTCAACCAAGCAACCACGAATAGTCTTTTGGAGCAGATGTACCAACAGAGAATGTTCGCGAAAGATTATCACACCCCCAGCCATTCATTCAATATAGTACAGAGGGGATGGCGAAGAACTGGGTTGGCAACCGAGCCAAGAGATTACGTCTGGACAAATCCCAGTCGGGGATTTGTCCGGCTTACCTTACGTTCTCGCGTTCCAGAGTTTTGGTGTATCCTTTAGTGTCGGTTCGGAACCACGTGATGGCCCGGGTAGAAAACTCACGCTCAAGGAACAAGGCCACACCTCATGAATAGGGACACAGAAAGGTGTTACTTAGCAACCGTTCTTTGTTTGCTAAAGAGACGTTTCGTTAATGAACTACTAAAAGTTACACAAAAAACCCACCCCTCAGGTTCGTTATGGATTTGTTTGAATCATCAGTAGAAAATATGTTTTAAAAACAGTCTGGATCATCACTCGGAATGACAACTAATTCAAAGTATAAAAAAAGCTTACTTACTGACTTCCGGTCCCTTCTGAGGCCTGGAGACGCTAAGATGATTTCTTCCGTGGTTCCAAAAGGTCACTGCAAGAAAATGACGTAATAATATATTAAAATAAGCCACGACCACATCCAATTCATTTATCATCCGATCTTTCGTATATTCAGTTCTAGGTAAGAAGGGCTTAAATCAGACTTTATTTCTACTGACTTAAGTCATTTTTACTAAGCAACAGACTGCATGATTTTTCCTTTTTCGTGATGAATCCCGTTCCTGTCTTACAGACCAACAACAGCGTCGGTTTGTTAAACCACAACAAGAAACCTTTTTTGATCTCATCAGAAACAATAAGAGATTAATTATATTATTTTAAGTAGGATTTGAGGTTCTCGCGGTGGTCGGTACGAAGATGGACGTCTTCTTAAAGTAATTCCTGTTCATGATTAAAACTTATCACATAACAGATAAGACAATATTCAGTTTAATGATTCATCATCGGTTATCATCATTCTCACTCTGAGAGAGATTATTGCCTAAAGCAGTAAAACATACAATACGGCCATCAGGCCGTATATTCCTTGTCTAACGGGAAAAATCCAGAGAAAATAAGTCGTTTTAGTAATGAGCTTTGGGTGTTGAAACTCTTGACAGACTTTCTTACTATTCTCTTCAGACTCAATGAACGAGAAGTGAAATTTATCGGAGCGAAGATTCAATGAAACATAAGAATATAAAGTTCTTATCTTGTCTGGCTGTTCTCCTTCTTATTCTCTTTCTCTATAATAACCCCCCCTCCCCCCCAATTACATTTTCGCCACTGTCTGAAGAAAGAAACCGACAAATCGCTCTTAAACAACGCAGTCAAAAAAAAATTCTCTTCTATCGCCTTTTTCCTCCTTCCCCTTGGTCTTCTCTCCTCTGCCCTCATCTCGTTCACTCCCGGTCCAGAGATGGCCGACGTCAGAAGATGCTGACTAAGACAGGCCACTGTCCAGGCTCAGAGTCTGGTGACGTCACCGGTGGCTTCGTCGTGAAATGCAGACACTTCAAAGCTCTTCGCTCTAGAACGGAGTGAGGCTCTCGTGTCCCAATAAAAATGTCGAAGAACGAAGCCCTAAAGTACGAAAGTAAGACAAACAGGTTACATGTAAACCATAAAATATTTTATAAATTGCCCTCAGTCTAGAAACCAATTTTAAATAACAACCACGTGACACGGCAGAAAGAATCTGGGAAAATAACGTCTTTAAAGACTTCAGACCCGTTCTTGGAAATTGCGCTCTTTTCAAAAACTGCCTTCAACCATCAGGGCGATGGGTATCTTTTCCAATCTCTTTCTCTGGGGTTAATGCGGCAGAAGCGCGAAGCAAACTACTACCCTCTATCTGGTGTCCAGGTTAAGAATACGTGGAGCTTTACCGCCAGGCCCCTTACTATTTCATGATGTGGAGTCTGGCGTAGTCAGACTTCGCACTAATCTGTAATTCTGTACGGAAACGTTCCAAATGTCTTATTCTGGAAGCTAAGCCTCAGGGACCGTCTATTTTCCATGAAACCCCAAACGTAGCTGGTCGTTGTAGTTGAGCCCTGTACAAGGTACACAGAAAAGTTTGAGTGACGTGCTGTTTGTATCAAACCCTCACAATAGAATGGTCTATTTTGTGACGCGGAAAGAAAGATGCCGGGAGTCTATTGTGGCTCGTGAAGAGACACCTGAGAGCGGGTAAGCAGACAATTGCTGGCTTGCAACCCCATGGATTATCACAGTGATTTTACGCGCGTCCCGTACACTAACAAAAAGAACTCTCCTTTTGATAAGATGTTATTCAAACATTGTGAAACAGCGACACTCCAGTTGCAGTGGATTTGCAGGGAACAACAAAATGCTAAATAACACTGACTGTAGCCTACATTACAGGGAGGCAGTACAAAGCGAGAACCCAGAAAGGAAAGGAAATATTGTTAAAACCTTAAAAATTACGTACCGTCTGCTTTAACCCCATAAAACGAGGTGATACATGCGTCTCGCCTGCTTGACATTCAAGTCTGCATTTTGTTACACATCGCATAATTCCCACTGTAACCAGCGATCATTTCCTTAAACAAGGTTAACCAGTTGATCTTTGTAATGGTGAAGTGTAGTGTTTTCTTCGCGGTACGGACTGAATTCTTAAGTTTCATTTGAAAGAGCTTCGGCTCCAAAGGTTAATTAGCGTTTTAGTCGTATTATTTCCTTAAACAAGGTTAACCAGTTGATCTTTGTAATGGGGAAGTGTTGTGTTTTCTTCGCGGTACGGACTGAATTCTTAAATGTAATTTAGACGAGCTTCATCAACGAAGAATTCAACACCCGAAACGTCAACTACTGCACAAAATTTATTTAAGATCCATCCTACCATCTTCTTCCCGCAGAGAGATCTAATTTTCTAAGCAGTCTTTGATTCCGTATTTTATCTACATGTCCAGTCCATCCTAGACTCCACCATACTGGCAAATACTAGGAGACCCTATAAATGTTTAATTGTTTTTAAGAAGTCGTCGCAATTTCTTCCCGCTGCTTTGCAACCTACAGATCGCGTGTGAGAAAAGACGTCACACGATTGGTCCATTGCATGTGGTACGATACCTCCGCCTTACCCGTTCGCCTTTTGCTTGCAGTCAGCGCAACAGTGGCTTACGTACACGCGATGACGTCCTATTTGCTTACCACTCGCCACCAGTTCACTTGTTCGTAACCTGGGAAGGATGAGCTATTCGACCTGCCCATTCGTAAAGGATACAAATCCGTGTTCTAACACAACTCAGTCGATGGAACTATTAAATACTTCAAAAGACAGACAAAGAATAAAACAGAACTGCCTGGGTATTGCAAAACCGTAGTGATATCGCGGGCCGGCAGAGGTCCGCAGACTCTCAGTTGAGGAACACTGCCCCCTGTGGACCGGAGACTTGCTTCACTGTTGCACTGAGCTTGTCTGGCGGTCTCAAGGGTTGCAGTTCCGCTGGTTCAGTCGGTATGCTAATAAGGCGTTTCACTTCTAATGAAAACGACGAACTCACGCCAGCTCCGGCTTAATTGAAAGAATTACTAACAATTAATTAGCCAAGCTGATGTCTCACGAACCCAACACAGCATCGCCCTGTCTCCGACTAAGCCAGGTTCATAACCCCGGGAAGGTGACGGGGGTGATTTTGACTTGACAGTCGCCAGGGCAACAGAACGACGAAAACGCGGGCATTGGAATAATTTCGGAAGCGAATAAATGGGAGGACTTACGGACTTAAGAAAGAAGGAAGAGATCGGCTAGGCATGTAGAAGGAAAAGAAGCTATTAAAATGGACACAAAATTCTGGTCGCAAGATCCGAAGGCGGATGACAAATGAAAGAAGACGGAAGGACATTATTCGACTCTTTAATAAATAAGGCGGCAGGGTGTAGATTGCGTCCATCTGACTCAGTGTATGGCCCCCACTGGGGCTTAAACTCAGGGCATATTTTCGGTGTTTTGACCTCTATAAAATCTCTTCCTGGTCTCAAGGAATAAGCATGTTAAGTTCGGCGCAAATTGGTGTAGACCACACACACACACACAAATGTAATTTCAAGACATGTGTGCGTGCGTGTTTAACACACCAACCCCCGCAAATATTTAAAGCATTTTAAAAAAAAACTTCTTATGCCAAGTGGTACATCGTATTCCTGTAAGTTATTCGTTGTGGGTATATCGTAAAATTCACGGCAGGAAACACACTTTATAGCCGTTGAAGATTTTAAAATATGTTCAGCTAATGATCGTTACACGATCATAACTTCCACATAATTATGCCTCGGAATGCCAAACGAACAAATGATTAGTTAGCAACATACAACCTCCGACTAAAAATGAAACATAAAAAATGCCCATAAACATTTAAATGTATGTCCTCGACGTCCTTCATGAAGCCCAATTACTATTCTAGTACTTTGAACACGTGGAATTTTTTGTGTCACAGTTCCTAAATACAAAGTATAATTCTGTAAGATTTTATAATGATTAATTGTCTTTACATTTTAATAATATTCTTTGGTAACAGGAAACAATGTCAGGGAAACAATTACCTCAGTGATATTCTATTATTTAGTAGGTCTATAATGGATAAAATGAAAACCTCAATTTTTTAACAATAGAGGATTTAAAAATGTTCTAACAAAGCATGATTTACAGACGTTCAAAGTAAATAGAACGTCTATTACAGCCAAGAATACATTTCATATCCGTGGCATTAACATTCAATGGCTATTAGAATTAAAAATCTATAACAAAATTCTTCCTGCACATGATTTTGGTCGCCTAATTACACAGAAGATGTATTGTTAAAAATCTTCTAAAAAACTCTTTTGAAAATAAGTTTACATTTCAAGCACTTAGCAACTACGTGTCTCGTACGAACTCACGGAGGTTCAAAAAACCAGCAGGTCCCATTAGTTACAATCGTGAGACAGTTCTAATCGCCTTTTGTCTTAACAACTGCTTGCCCGCGACCCCCCCGCTCTTCGAAGTGTGTTGGGTTCTTTATTTTTCGACTAAATTTTCCACTCAAATTTTGTATAGGATCTCCTTCTGATCTCCTCCCCTAGTTTTCACTTTCATAACAATTATTCGTCTGCAGAAATCTGGTCACAGAATGCGTGAGCTGGATTCAGCTGGCTCAGGACAAGGACCAGACGCGGTCTCTTGCGACCACAGTAATTATTCTCCCAGCTGGATAAAAGCGGGAGCTAATTAGTTAATGACTTTCAGATAAATAAATAAAAATATTTTTTTAAAAGACAGCTGATTCGCCTCCGCTGTCTCTTGTGGCAGTAAAAATTTCAATAACCAAAAAAAATATATATTGAATCGCGTTTAATATTATATTTTAATATTTAAGTTCCTAGTTGCTGGACGGAAAAGCGATTATGAACGCTTCGGCAGCAAAAAATTTCCCTGAACTTAATCTGTTCTTAATGTATTCGTGTGTGCAGGCGACGTTTTGTTTTTGAATTTTCGAAAGACTTACTTTGTCTTTACACAGGCTGATGGAAAAGTCTAGCAACCCGTAT